CATGACATATCCCATGATCTCTCATTTCCCTCACACAAAATAATGCGTAATCAGAACTGAATACTACTCACATTCTTAACAAAGTCTAACTAACCTAATCTTCTTCCGAATCTTCCTTACATGGTGGATACACTTTTATTATGGATTCAATAAAATTACTGAACGATTTTTTTTTTCCGAATTTGATAAAAAAAATTCTCTTTATCACATCTACAATTCACTTTAGACAGCGCCATAAAATCCCCAAATTATTCAACCCTACTTCACACAACACACAATGAAGCTTAATACAAAATAATATACATCCACAGATACTTGTCCAAATTCCCCCCTTTTCCGATTAAAGAACCGTAATTCGTCCATTAATATCACATGACATATCCCATGATCTCTCATTTCCCCCACACAAAATAATGCGTAATCGGAACTGAGTACTGCTCACATTATTACCAAAGTCCCAGGTAGTAACCTTTATCGCCTCCAAAATGTCGCCAAACTACCAGTTACCATATTGTAAAGATCAACCAAAATCGCACGAGTAATTTAAAAAAAAAAAAAAAAATAGTTCTCAAAATTTTAGCTCCTCTATTTTAATTGAATTTGGTATATATTTATTAATATCTCATTTTTTTAAACTTTTTTTATTCTTCCTTTAACATTTCAAATTTTAGGTTCATTCCAAATAAAATTCACCCATTTTTTATGATATATTTTTAAAATTTGTATTTAAAAAATTTTTACCATCATTATAAAGTAGGTGTATTTATAAGCATATCTGGGGGGGGGAGACTTTTTTATTAAAATTTTTCTAAGATATACACGAATTTACACAATTGTGCGTTTTGAAATTTGGCATCTTTATTTGAGCGATAATAACGCCAAATGTGGTTTATGGATTTTGTTGCAGTGAATTGCCCCAGCTATTTTTAACCTTAAATTTCAAATAAAGTTTTATGGAGAGTTAATTATATGAAATTTTTCCCTCATTGATGCATAATAAATATTTAGTAAATACTATAAGAAAAGCTACATTTTTAAATTATAGATGATATTATTCAGATTTTTAACTTTTACAAAAAAATTTCTTCCTTTTTTTCCTTATTTTTTAAATATTTGTAAGAGTAAATTTTTACCTTCGCTGTGTTATTGTCTGCTACTTTAACTTCATTTAAACTGAATTGTCTAAAACTGAGAAAGTTTGTTTGATGTTTATTTTGTTGATGTTTGTTCATTTGATGTTAGGCTACAAGAAGCCTTCGAAACATAACTACAGGAAATAAACAAAAAACTAATATTCTAGAGACTATGACTATGATTTCACTTGCCTGGACTCAAGTAAAACCACAAACAATTATAAATTGCTTTATTAAAGAGAGATTTTTGAACCCAAATGAAAGTGTTAACAATGAAAATGATGGTAAAATTGTGATTATATTATAGATGAAGAAAATTGGAAACTACTGAGGTTAGATATTGTAATTGAAGAATCCATAAAGTGTGATGCCAATGTAATGACATCAGACTTATGTACAGTTGAGGTGCTGATTGAAAATATTTTACCAGATGAATATTTAAGTAACAGGGATGAAGAAATAATTCCTTCTTTCCAAAATGCTATCTTACTGCATTGATACCCTCAGAAATTTCTTTGTTTGTAATTATACAAGCGAGAAAACATTTCAAGAACTGAATTCTTTTCATAATGCTTTGCTTGAGATTCAGAATCAAAAGACAATCAGATGACGCGTAAGGCCTTTATGGCTGAGAATGTGCTTGTGCGCGTGCGCAAAACACGTTTACAAGTGCGCATTTAATGTATAACGGACGGTATAAGCTAAGCTAAAATTATTTAATTATCTATTTCAGTAAATGTTGCAGATTGCGTTGTTCCTTAATCTTCGAATTGAATCCGGCTTATTATTTTTTGCAGACTGTTAGAGCAATTTTATAAAAGTAAGCTTGAACTTTCAATTATGTCAAATAGAATTTCTGATATATATTTATTAATATGTAAATGATTTACAAAGCGAAAGTATGTTTCGAAGTTCATTAAACAAAAAGTGGAATTGCTACAAAAAATGGATAAAGGCATATCCTTTATTTATCTAAACTTTAACGTTTGTTTATCTAAACTTTGTTTATCCTTAACGCGGCAGGCAATGAATTGGAAGTTGATCTGTCAGCACTATCCTTATCTTCAGGGCAGATGTTTTTATTTTATTTGGCTTGTAATTCCTTATTAAATGTAGTATTACATCTAGATGTACTCCATCTTTGATATGATTTAAATCAAATTCCTCATCATTATAATTCGCTTCCGATAGCAAAGAAAGTGACAGAGGTTATTGAAAACGAAAAAATTTCAATTGACAAATTAGTCGGTATTCTCTACACAGCAATTATAGGACTTGAACAGCGGAACTTTGTAACTGAACAAGAAATTGTCTGTTTAAAGAATTAAAGAGAATGTATTATCACATAAAAAACGAAGCAACTTAAACAACTTACATTGAAAGAAATGTTTAATAAAGTAAACAAATAAATATTAAGCTCCTTTTTTTTTTTTTTTTTTTTTTTTTTTTGTAAATTTTGATACCCTTTAGATCATAATTGTTCTTTATTTCATAAATTACGGTTTCATATTTTTAATTTTATAATTTCTGCATGCCATCTTACCAGATTTAAACTGATGATCTATAATCCGGAACAATCAATAATCCGGAATCGCCGAAGTCCCGACGAGTCCGGATTAACGACTTTTGACTGTATAAGATAGCAATTCAAATGAAGGTGTGACTTTTTTTTTTTACTTCACTAAATAAATTAACTAAATATTTATTTAAAGTATTAAATTTATATTTGCTTGAACGTAGTAAATATTTTAAACAAATTGAAAGTAGGATAATAAAACTGTGTAATATCAGTAGTAGGTTAGTAGTATCAAAACTGGGCAGCCAGTATGCATGTTTCACATTCTAAAGTTTTGTTTATATGTCTTTCTCATTTATACATCGTTTGTGAATGGTCCTTTGAAAAATGTATAAACATTGCTTCACTAGATGTATATTATGTGTGTGTGTAAGATAAAAATATGTAAATCAAAATTATAACTTAAATTTATCAATAGCCTTTTATTCTGCAGTAAAGAATTTAAGCATGTATCTTCCTTTTTTTTTTTTTTTTTTATTGATTCATTGAACTAATCAGTGTAAATTTCTGTAATTAGCTTCCTCACCTAGATGTCTAACAATAAATTAAACTAATCATGGAGATGAGCTAAAACATGTCCAAGATATATTGACCACTAATACTTTAAAAATTGGAGGAAACAAAATTGAAAATTCAGTACAGTAAAAGCCCGACTATCCAACATTCTACTAATGAGCTCAAGTAACTGGAATGTTTTACAGATCCCCTCCCAAATTTAGTAAATCAGAGATTTGTAATACCATTATAGAGCTATCAACATGGATACATTGTTGCAAACAATGTGATTTAGTAGCAATAGTGAATAGGCATGACATCACAACATAATCATTTTCATTTTGGTTTAATTTGAACTCCATTAGTTCTTTATAAGCAGGTTTGTTTTTTAGAAAGAGTGATATGTTTTCTCTTTTTCCTCACATTTAAAAAAAAAAAAAAATATTTCAAAGGTAGAAGATCCAGGCTTCAGAAAAAGCTGTGATGTGCAACTTTGAAAATGGTAAACAATGGTGATGTTATATTAAAAAATATAATAAGCAATTGAAATTTCTTATATGCTGTATTCATAATTTGCATCTGTGTATTAGCTAACTAAATGAGGAAGGGTCTGTTTGTTGAAATTTCTGCCAGAATGATTAGTAACATCTTTGCCAACTTTCATGTTTGGCAGGATTTCATAATCAGAGGAGCTGTTTTATACTTAAGGACTTTGAAATATGTTGGGTTTTTCATGTCTGTAATGAGTTCCCCCCCCCAAAAAAAAATCTTATATATTTTGGAATGTAAACTTTTGGTATTCAGATTGGTAACAAAACTATTGTTTTTATAGTTTTAGAGCAGAACATTTAATAATTGTCAATCTTTGTGTAATTTTTGTATGTTGTACATGGCCTCTATTTTACATACCCTAAAGTCTGTGTTTGTACTTATATATTGATGTCATCTCTTTGCAACTTTTTCGAGAACATTAAAATCAGTGTTTCAGTTGACATCATCAGCAAATGAAATGCATACGTATAATTTCTTTACTGATTTCCATATGCAATTTTTTTTGTAAGATTTAAACTTAAGTGATACATATCTGTTCACACTGGTAGCCCAAAGTTTTGTCATTCGTTTTCTGCTTTTCTTAGTACATCTACTTTTGTGAGTTTCACCACAGTTCTGGAGTTTTTGTCTTTCGTCAGAATAAATACCTGCCTTTTTTCAGTTATACTGACTTTTGCTGAAAGGCAGTTTAATTTAGCCAAAAGCTTGAGATCTGTTATGCTTTATTATTGTTACACAGTTCAGTATTATATTCTTATACTATACCACTTAAAAGATACACAGAATTCTTATACTGTACCATTTAAAAGATACACAAAATTGCATGGCTTCAACAAGTAAAAAAAGTCATGCTTTTTTATTTGTAGGCTGTTATTTTTAAAAATTTCAGGTACTTAAATTATTTGCTTAAATGTATTGTTACAGAACTTAAAATTCGATAATTGTTTGAGCAGCTAAAATGTTGTTGTTAAAACGAATTACTTACTCGGAAAGAAGTTGTTACCCTTTCACCATTCTTTTCAAAAATTTTAAATTAACTCAGCTTATGTTCTCAGCAGTTTTGTTTTAGATATGGCTTTGTTTTGCTGAAATAATAAAGAAAGTGATAAATCAAATATATATGACTTTATTTTGAACTTTTGTAATATATTTAAAAAAATATACTTTTATATATTTAAACATGTGTACACATTATGATCCTTGGTGGATTAACATAATTTGCTTCCTTGTTTCATTAATTTTAGACTCTTGCTGTGCAAGTCAAGTGTTTCCAAGAAATTATTTCCATTGGATATGCAGTTTATAGAATTCATGGTTTACCTTGGTTCAGATCCCTTTCTTGGTATTTTTTAATTACATCAAATTATTTTCTGTATGGAGAGGGAATTGTGGATTATTTTGGAGTTCTTCTGAATCGGGCTGTAAGTACTTGTTAGAAAATTATATTATACTTGTTAGAAAAGTATATTAATGCTTGTGTAATTGTTGCTGAAATAGTTTTTAACCTTGAAGGCCAAAGATTGAATAACTATGATATTTGTGTAATTATACCATCAAAAGATGGTATCATGTATGTTAGGCATAAATATGTGAGTATTTTATATCAAATTACAAGCTGTCATTAATCACTGAACATTTCCTTGCTGTTTATTTTTATAAATCTTGAGCAAAAAATAAGTACTCTTTTAAATATTGTTTTCATTTTTGGTTATTGAAATCAACTAGTATATGCAATGAAATTTAAGAACTATTAGAATTACTGAATTTAGGAACATTGTTTTCAAAATACTCATTCTTACCTGTTTTATTTAATGTTAAATATTTTATGTGTTTTTTTTTAAACTGAATAAATGTTTTTAAGCTTTTCTAACAAGTTGAAATAGATTAAAATTAGGAATTTTTAGTCAAAAACTAAGTCCAATATACTCTTGATTATCTGGGTGCATATTATCTCAGAGTTGCCAACTCTCTCGATTTAGGCGGGAGACTCCCGATTTTCGACCGTTCTCCCGCCAACCCGATTTACAATATATTTCTCCCGACTTTTTCTTATTCTTAAAATTTCTCACGATTTTTATGGAACTTGGCTTAATGCTTTGTTATATGAAAAAAAAAAAAAAAAAAAGTTATTTTGGACGTCTGAAAGCAGTTGAATTTTCTCTAGCTTATATCTAAAACAAAACCTTGCGAATTAGATAACTTCTGCTTTGTGAGTGAGAGCATATATGTATCCAGAAAGGTCGTTCTCCAGTTCTCCAATGGGCATCGTGCTCCACTGCGTGTCATGTGGCATATGTTAGCCAATGAGGACAAAGCAAGCTCAAGGCTGTTATTTGGATATTCTTTAGTTATTTCGGTCATTTTGTCCTTGAGTTGTGTGAGTTACATGTGCCTTCGGGAAATAGTTTTAGAAATTATCATCTTTTTGTTATGTTCTGTGAGAAAGGTGAAACTACTCGTGTGCATTTCAAAAATCCTACACAGTTGACTTTCCTTCCATTATTTCCTCAAGGAAATGTAATAAATTTGCAATGTGTACAGCCTGTCGTTGCGATTTTTTTATTTCATATTTCGCATGGTGGAAGGGCAGATGTTCTCAAACATCTGCGTACACAAAAACACAAGGACAACATGAGTTGTTTTGAAAAAAAATGGAAAATTAAATTTTTCTTCAGAAACAGAGGACCAAAAAGTTATTAATGCAGAATGTCTGTTCTCTGCTTTTTTGCTGGAGTACAACCTGCCACTGAATGCATCGGATCACGCTGCAGCTTTATTTAGAAAAATGTTTCCGGATAGTGAGATCAGTGAGATCGCTAAGAAATATTCAAGTGCAAGAACCAAAACAGGTGCAATTGTTAAAGAAATGAGTTTGAAAAATAAATCATCAGTTATTGATTGCAATAAAACAGCTCCGTTCTGCCTCTCTATGGATGGAAGCAATAATACCAATTCAAAACTGTATCCAATTGTTGTTTCTTTTTATAATCCAGAGTCTTCAGAAATTGAGTGCAGTTTACTTTCTGTCCCCACTTTAGAAGGACATTTGACAGGCTTTAATATACCACAGCTAATTATTAAAACTTTAAAAGAAAATGTAGGTCCCTCTGGATAATTGCTTAGCACTTGGTGCTGATAATACAGCAGTATTGGTAGGCTTGAATACTGGTGTTGCAGGCATCTTCAGAACGGAAAATTCAGATTTCCATATTATGAGGTTGCACCTGTCACCCCTTAAATTTAGCAGCTGAAAAACGGGAAGCTTCTTTACCAATAAATGTGGATGAACACATTGTTGATATTTATTATTATCTTGAAAGGAGTTCTAAAAAGAAGGAAAAATTGAAACAGTTCCAACAGCTGCATAACAGCAGTTTACACTTAGAGAACTTGAATGAAGTTATAAAATCAGCTAAGATTGACACCCAGTGGAGTTTAATTAGAAAACTGAAAGATGCTGATGGAATTTTGACATATAGTGAACTGTCTAGAATTATGTTGGCCATCTTGACAGTTCCCCATAGTAATGCAGAGTATGAGAGGATTTTCAGTGTTGTTGCGAAAACGAGGACTAAATTTAGATCTAATATTCGTGATGACACATTAGAAAAACTTTTATTAGCGAAAGCAGGCCTACGTGGCAATTACTATGAACAAAATTATGACGTTTCTTTCTTAAAGAAAGCAAAATCTGCCACTGTTTATAACATTTGTACGAAAACTGATTAAAGTTTTATTTTTCGTTTTCTTAAACGATTGCAAGTAATAAAAATGTTTTTTATGTGTAAGGTATTTTTGTGTTGCTTGCATTTAAGAATTACTATTTGAAATTAATTCATTATTAAAAACTATATTTTCATCATTTAAAGTCTTTTTAACATTGTGAAAAATCTACCGATTTCTTAAAAAAATCTCCTGATTTTTGAGTGTCATAGGTTGGCAAGTATGTTATCTGTTTGCAGAGTATCTGTGAGTGCCAGTACCCTCCTGTGGAGGCACACTCAACGCTGTGCACAAGAGTAATATCTACCGGGAAAACACTGAGGAATGGTTCAATGGCAGTTTCACTGAACCTGGCTTTCAATGCCTAAAGATGCGGATATCACTTAAAATGTTATAATAACAGAAGTTGCAGAGAGTTATACTGAAAATACATGTGAAGGACATATTGACAATTACATTAATCCTGAGAGAAAGCAAACTATTGGACTTTGTCTACCAAAGGGGATTTGAATACAACAATACAATAGCAATTTAAAAAAATACACAGGGGAATTTAAAGAATATTTAAACATTCTCAAAAACAAAATAAATATTACTGATTTTTTAAAGAAAATAAACACATACAATATGCATAAAAATTGATAGTTTGGATTATTCACATTTTTCAATTATTCATGAGCAGCTTATTCTTCGCCATTAGCCTGAATAATTGAGAGTACACTGTAAGTGATTTTCTGAACAAAAATATATCTTGTGCAAGTATTTTCTATGTACTGAAAGCTAATTTTATATCATTTTTTGTTGTTGTGTCCCCACATTACGTAGAAGAATGAATTTTATATCATTTCACTTTTATGAAAGACTTGCATTTGGTCTGCTTCTAACTGCTAAAAGAAATTTGAAAGGAATTTCATTGTTACATAAAAAAGGAATATTTGAAACAGCTTTCAGAATTTGTTTTCTGCAATGGCTGCAGAAGGGTAAGGTAGTTATGAAAAAGCACATGCACAAGTTTAAGGTATTTTGCAGAATATTTGTGTGTGTACAAAGGAAAAATCAGTGAGTCTAAGCAATGATGCGTATTGCTGTATTTCAAGCTTTTTATATCAGAAGTCAAACCTTAATCCTAGGAATTAAAACTGATAAACATAGATGCTAACGAATGTAGAGGCCTGATAAGATTCAATACATAAGATGTTAATTAGACAATCATTTACTTTCTGTCTCATATTTACTTCCTTGTACAGAGTAAAAGAGGTACTGTAATCTAAAAAAATTTTGGTTTTCAGTTTGTAGCAGAAATATCCATTTTGACCATTTGTGAATCCCGTTTTGCATGACATCTGTGGGTATAGCCAAGATTAAGGGCTGTATACTCCAAATCAGATTGTAAAATGGATTTTTTCATGATGTCTGTACGTATGTATCTGGTATAACTCAAAAATGATTAGCCGTAGGATGTTGAAATTTTGTATATAGACCACTATAACATCTAGTTGCGCACCTCACATTTTATTGCAATTAGCATTACTAAAAGTGTATGCACACACCACACACACACACACACACATATATATATTCTAAATTTCTTACTTTTTGTCCATATACTTGTATATACATATATATGGAAGGATCACAGTCATATACTTCCAGTTACAGGAATGTTTTAAATGATGAAAATATTCATGTTTTGGAAATATTAAATTAAAAAAAATAATTTTGGCCAGCTAATGAAAGTTAACTTCTAATGTGGTCTTCCGGTTCCTATACTAATATTTGGGAAAGTTTCATACTTGTTATGAAAAAATGTAAGAAGAAGTAACAACAAAAAGCTTGATTCCCATAGGACAAAAATTGATAAGGATATTTAATTTCAAAATTTGCAAATTTTTTGTCATTTTCAATTTGCCTTGTGGAGTCAGTTAATTAAGTTAGAATGATTCAAGGACATAAATTTAAATGAAGTGCAGCAATATATATATATAATTTAATAGGCTGTACATAGAAGTCATCTGGTGTCCACATCAGCTTTCCCTCCCCCCTCTTCTGTTTCCTACATCTCAAAATTTGATGATGGCATAATGTACCTTCATCATAACAATCACCTGTTAGCCTGAAACCAAAAGTACAGCTCTAGTGCTTACTGCTTTCGTTATTCTGTAAGGGCAAATTATATTACACAAAAATTATTTCTGCTCATTTGAGCTGCATATTTATCACATTTTTCTTATTTTTACTAAATTTTAGTGATGTTTTACCAGCTATTTGTTAGATTTCATGATATTTTCAAAATTTTTTCCTCTAAAAATTTATTTGTATAAATTGTCATGTTATTTGCTAATTTCTCCAAAGCTTTATTCTATGCATTTTTTACTCATGAAATATTTTACAGGAATATTGCACTTTTTTTATAAAGCAGTACATGTACTTGATCAGAGACATTTCCTTAAATAATCTGCTGCATCAAATTTGTTTTCAAATTTATTATATGCATGTATATCACACATTCATTTCTATTGTTACAACACCTCTCCACTATTGTTGAAAATAAAATACATATATAAACATAGTTCATAAATATTTTTAAATATTTTATTATGTATTCAAATTCATTTTCATTTAAAACCATATTTTAATTCCTATATCGATCAGTAAAGGTGATAGTAACTCTGCATTTTTCTGTGCTAATGTAGGAGAACTTTTGCAACATTAAACAAAAGTTATCAATTCTAGTGCTAATAATATGATTTCTGAGTTTATGATGAACTATTATGAAATATTTGAAAATATTATACATTCATATTATATTTTCCCCTTTCTGCTTTCATTCATTTTTAACAGGCATCTAATAGAAAATATTTTTTGCTTCTAAAATATTTCATTTCTTCAATATGAAAAAAAAGTACATTTTTTATATATCTTTTGTTTGCGAGAAAATGTAAATTTTTTAACATTTGCTATTTTGAGGTACAAATATATTCTATCTTTTAATTTAGCATTTCTTTTGTAGGACTTCTTGAGGCCATTGGTCACTTATCATCGTTTTATATCATTCAGTTTATATATAATTGGATTTGTCTGGTTTGTCTTGAGTCTAGTTAAAAAGTACTACATGAAACAGTTTTCTTTGGTATGAAATTTTTTTATTAATTTTACTGTATGTATATATATTTCAGAATTTGGGGATTTTTTATGATATTAAATGGTTTATAATTTTTTCCCCTAGTTTGCCTGGACTCATGTAACTCTGCTAATTGTTGTAACTCAGTCATATTTCATTATGCAGAATCTTTTTGAGGGTCTTATATGGTATGCATGTGCTTTATATTTATTATTAGTTCATACAAATGAAAATAAATGCTTAAAGAAGAAGTGATGCTGTTTTAACTGCCCCCTCACATTTTGCAGTTGATTAAATTAGAAAATTTGTCAAAAAATTGTAAAATTGTCAATATTATATTCTTCCTATTTATGTGTTTTTGGTTATTATACAAAAAAGTGTTCTTTAAAGTTTAATTTAAAAACACAATAAAGCATTTCGCATTTGATTTTTTATAGGCATAACACAGAGATTCATGTTAAAAAGATAATTTAATTTATTTGATATTTGAGGAAATAAGCTATTAATGCTGTTTGGAGTTCTTGGATAATATGTTTGTATTAATCATAATGCTGTGTTTCAGGTTCATTGTTCCAGTATCAATGATAATCTGTAATGATGTGATGGCATACATGTTTGGATTTTTTTTTGGCAAAACACCTCTGATTAAATTATCACCAAAGAAAACTTGGGAAGGTTTCATAGGAGGTTGGATTTCAACTGTTATTTTTGGAATGCTTGTAAGTTAAAATTTTCTGCATTCGTCTTTTAATGAGGTATTCTTTAACATTGTTATGCTACAGTATGTTCTAATTTATGTATTATTTTTTATTTATTTATTTTATTTATTTATTTTTTGTAGATGTCTCATTTTATGTGTCAGTTCAATTACTTTGTCTGCCCAATGGCTTATTCTGAGAGTTTGGAAAAAGTAACTATGGATTGTACACCATCACCACTTTTTCAGCTGACAGATTACAACTTACCTGGACCTCTGCATTCAGTCGCTTCACTGGTATGTTTCTCTCCATTATTGTAATCTTACATAAGTATTCCTTATCTTTCAGTAAGACAACTTTTGTGTTGAATCCATGATAAATTGAAAATATCAAAAGTCAAAATTGCATCCGATATATCTAACCTCCTAATATCATAGTGTAACCTACCATATACATGTTCTAAATACTCAGGAGATTTATATTACCTACAATTTAGCAACATGGTTTAAAACTAAGCTTACTATTACAGTTATACAGTTACTATTACAATTATACAGTTGGAAACATGGTTGTGCCATAAATATTATCACCATGTATTATATTAAAAAATATATATAGCAAGTATAAAAAAATGCATGTCAACACAAATAAAAGAATTTTGGCACCAAATATTACCATCATGCATTATTTTTAAGGAAATAATAAAATGAACATAAAAAATGTATGTAACACTTAGCACTCTTGAAAATTTGATACATACACTGTTTTTAAAAATTTTGCGGTTTTACTGTTGAATTTTATGTAGAGTAAGTGTGAAGAAAATGATGATTAATAATAAAGTTTTTAAAAAAGTAACAACAACAGAAATTCAAAAAAGAAAATATGAAAGGTTTCACATTCTAAATTATGTCCAAAGTGGCCCTTTTTCCCCCCATTTTGTGTGTTACCTTTATTTATTAAATGTCATGTTCTCCTCACTTAAACCATAAAATTCAGTTCAAGAGCAGTATAGCAAAATAAATTTAAATTCAGCATATCTTTAGAATTTCCGATACACAGTCTCATGCGCTCGAGATAAAAATGTTTTTTCTGAACAGTGTTGCCATTGCTCGCTTTAAAATCCTTGAGTTTGTTAACCAAAAATTCGTTAAAGTTTTACAAAATATGAATTCAATAACAAAACAAATTCCAAGTTTGGACTTCCGGATGCCCATATTCGCAGTAGGATTACGTTATTCAAAATGTGATGGCTCTAGGTATCGTTGTTTTATCACAGTGCGAGACACATGCATACATTTATGCAGATTCTTCTTTATTTAATTTCTTCAAATATAATACAGGGTGATAATATTTGGTGGCAACAGTTTGAAAAGTAAAACGGACATTCGGAGTGATTTGACACAAAATCGCAAAACAAAAACAATAGTCCCTCAGGGACAAAAAGGAAGACTTGGACTAAAAAGGAAGAAAGAAGCAATCTGTATAGGTCATGACTTAGTTACTGCATGAAATATTCAGCTCATTAAGCTCATAACACCATTTAGTCCAGATTGATTTCAAATCAGACGGAAATTCTTCATTTGCACGATATACCTAACTGCCAAACTCATTTAATCAAATTACAAATGCAGCAATAATTTCTAAAGCGTGGAATGCATGGGTTGTAATCTGAAGCAGAAACCATTTAGAATTTTTATTTTTTTTGAGAGAAAGTCACATAAATAATGAGTGCCAAATTGGAAACAATCCCTTTCAATGTCTCAAGCAACGGCCAATACTTTCGAAGAGGAACACAGTACTGTCTGTCTACAGTAAGAACATCTCTCGCCAGTTTGTCTGCAGCTGTCTGTTGCCGTAGAAATGAGCCCTGACCCATTTTTCATAGGGGTGTCTTGAAGATTTACTTCTCAGTTTGCCACCTTGGCGCATTTAAAGATGATTTGGCGATATTCACATTTTGTTTTAGTTTCAATTAAAATGCTCGTTGACCCTTTGCGTTGACTCCAGACATCCAATTTCCGGAAATGAAAATTCGATGGTGTAGATAAAGCTTTTGCAGTCAAGAAATGGTCTTTGATTTTGCCGTGTGAGGTACAAGTCGCTGAATTTGCCATCCCTCTAGATGTACAATGAGTAAAAATATATCAAAATAACTTGTAGGGAAATAAAATTAAAAATCTCATGTGTACACCACATGACTTCCTTGTATTGGAATATTAAATTATACACATTTTTTCTTGCATTTCATTTAAACTTATTGGATTGAATTAAATCTACTTCGCCGACAGTGCATAAACCACAATAGAATAAATGCATTCTTTAAAATTCACTCTAGTATTTGTTTACGATAGCGACACTCTGGTGCTAGATTCACTTAACAGTATTAATAATTATATAACAGTTAACTTATATAATAATTTTAAAGCGGAAACTAAGTTAACTGTTATATAATCCAATAATCATATAACAGTTAACTTATATATTTCATTCATATTATAATTCATAATGCCAAAATTTATATCATTTAAAAATTAGAATTATCTAATCGTTGCCACATGTTCTATTCAAATACTATAATAAAGCTAGAACGATGTATAAAAGAAATTAAGCGAACAAAACAAAAAAGAAACAGTTTTTCACAGATGATTGAGTATTTCTCATTTAATTAATTCAGTTCTAACTTCGCGAGAAGGCAAAAATATATAAGAACTCAAAATATCTATATTAAAAATTACGAAGTAAATCTTAAACGCTTATTTCCTCGACGGATTAAGCGTGATTTAAATAATAAATGAAGGCGTTATTTTTGTTGTTGCAAAGCTAAGTTTCTCTAGATTGGCAACAAATCCACTAGTCTCCTGTTTCAAATTTAAACATCAATGGCCGCCATTAAAAAAGGCTTAGCGGCAATTAAACAACTTTAAAATTGCTGATAATTCTAAAAATATTGCACACAAATTTACTAAAGGCATAAAATTCTTAACTGGAAGATAAAAACAACATAATTCAATCATTTTTAAAACAAAAATTGTACAATTTACAAACACATAAGAGTAAAGAAACTGAGATCACTGAGCCAGGTAACAGAGTGGATATATATATATACGTTTGGTGCGGCCGATTGCAACCAAAATACGAGGTGCATATCTACATGTTATAGCAGTCCTATATACAAAATTTCAACGTTCTGAGGCTACTCGTTTTTGAGTTATGTGAGATACGTACATATGCACGAACGTACGTACAAATGCCACGAAAAATTGTCTTTAGAATTAATTTTAAAGCAGTTTTATAATTTTTTTGAAGGAAAAGATTATTTTATTCTGTCCTTATGTACAGATATCACACAAAGACATCGTTAAATTGCATTCGATAGCGGTGAAAATGAATGTTTTCGTTGAAATATTCTGCCTGAAACTTTTCACGATTACAATACTTCCTTTTTACTTCATACAAGGAAGTAAAAATCCGTGCTTATTTTGAAGAAAAATTTTAATTTTTACATTTAAAAATATCATGCTATTATTTTGCTTCTTTTTTGTTTATTTGCTTGCAAAATCATAGATGACATCTTAGAAATTTGCTTGATTGCCCCATTCTCTGTAATATAGTATAGATGCACTTAATAAATGTAAAATAATTTAAATTTTTATAGTTCTCTTCTCTAGCTAATCTACTGTGAACATTCAAAGCAATTTTTCCAGTCTTTAAATGATGTTCTGCTGTTTTCATTTCAAAATTTTCTGTTAATTTATTGCTTGTGCTTTAATAATGACTAAAAATTTCATCATTAATGTATATGGAACCATCTGAAAGTAAAATGTTTATTTACATACCCATGCTCTCAATAAATACTTTTTGCAAACATTTCTTCTTTTCCCATACTTTCAAACTAAACCAAAAGCTGGTCAATTTAATGACGAAAGGAAGTGAAGGTGAATTAAAATCAAAACTGGGTTTACCTTAATTACCAGTGGTTTGGGTTGATTTATATGATTACGGAAAGCCTCCAGGGTTAAATGCCTTAGAGGAGGTTTGCCTTTGTGGAGGGCTTCCTAAGCGAAACTGGCTCGTATACACGTTACACATGGGGAAAACTACGAAAACGCTCATGCAGCCAGCGCGTTCACGGGATTCAAACCTCGAACCGAGTCACCAGTGTTCAGTGACTTTACCGATCGGCTGCTGGTGGGCCTCTTAATTACCAGTGCTCATTTATGTATTATGCTGCTTTTTATAGACACTGTAATAGCTAGTAACATAATAAAATGTTAAAATCAGAACAAAATTAAGGTCCCTTAAATTGTTCAGTTACCTATTTTGTATTTAAAATTATACGAAATTTATATAATTATAAAATTTTGGCTTTTATAACTGCAGTGAGCTTTGTTGCATTAATGTAATTTTGTATTAATATTTTCATAATAAAACAAAACTTATTTAATTTTTCATTAAAGATTAAAAATTTATTTTTCTAAGCAAATCATACCATGGCTTGTGGGCCCCCAATAACACAGTAATGAGAAATGAAGCAACCATGCAGTGTTCTTTATTATCCACAGGAGAGGTTTCGTCTCTGCTGATGGCTCACTGTTGCCCACTTTTGGTAGTCTTTCATTTACATAGTGGCAAAGAAAATACTGAACCTAGAAATACCCTCATAACTTGAGAGAGATATCAGATGAAGAAGATGGATGCCTTTGTGGAGGACTTTTATAGAGGTATAACATCTGTAAAGTCGTCTGAATCACTGTCACAAGAATTCGTTTCTTCTGCATCAGAATCGGAATCGCTGCTGCCAGTTTGAATTATTAATTCATCCACTATCTCTTCTAGAAGTTTGTCCTTGTCCCAATAGGAATTCAAGTTTTTCCACATGGTTGCAGTGTGCCTGCCATTTTCGAGAAGTGACTTCATTCAAAGCTTTTTGTGTTAATTTTTTCAAATTTTTCAAGCTTAAGTCCCCAGTCACATTCTTTTCTCTGATCAGTGTTTTAACTGGTAACCAAACATATTCAATTGCATTTAGATCACAGCGGGAAGGAGAAAGATGCACAACATGATGCTCAATTTCTTTTATTATGTCATCAATTTTATAGATTATTTTTTTAGGACGATTGTATTCTACTAAGTTAAACAGTTCCGCTTTTCTCATTTTGGGATCGCAGCATATCGTCTTCTTCATTAGCCAATTTACCATTGTTTGCTGTGTAGCATATTTCATGGGTGTCACATTTTCAGTTTTTGTGTGATACGGAGCATAGTCCATGCATACCACACTTTGGGGTCGTAAATTTGAAAGAAGCTTTTCCAACACCCGTTTTTCAAAATTTCCATAGTTCGTTTGCCCATGGTAATCCCCGCTTTGAGCTGATGCTTTATATACAAGTTGGGCACCTGGAATAAATTCTGCGGAAGAGCTAGCATGGACAACGATCAGTCTATTTTTTGAACTGACATTTATCTGTGCGCCCAAAACCGTATCATGCTGCCAACATTTCTTAAAAGTTAAATTGCTGTCAATCCATGTTTCATCGATGTAAACAATGTGGTGTTCACTTGCCCTGAGTTTCCTCATTTTGCATAAATAATTGTTTCTCCAAAATACAATGTGAGGTCTTTCGATAAGAATTTTTCTTTTGTTAATGCATTTCTTCCAGCGAAAATTCATTGAAAGCAAAACTTTGCACAAAGAGTCTTTTTGCCATGGGAAGTCTATTTTTTGCCTCAAGACAGGCAGTAATTTCTGCACAAATGGCTACTTTCTTTTCTTTGATGTAAAAGTCTTGTATTGTCTGCTGTATAACGCATTTGTCAAAATCGTCAATTTCGCACTTATGATTAGCAGGGCTTTTATGTTTCTTTCGAGGTGTATTTAGAAGTTTATTTTCACCCATTGTTGATACTTGGCACTTAATTTTTTAAAATTGTATGCTCCAATACTCCAGTAGCTTGCGATGTTCTCTTCAAAACTTGAGGAAGAGGAACTCCTAAAGAATTCGGCCGAAGCTTCAGAAGTGCAAAATTCTGCAACATTGTACACGATTTGACGTGCCTGAGACTTTAAAGGTTGACCTTTCTTAAACTGGAAGAGCCTTTTAAAAATAAGCGATTAACAAAGCACTATGAAAATCAAGCTAAATAGAAACAAATTTGAACAAGTACCAGTACAAAAGATATAACAATGAGAATAAAAATAGCGAATAGTAATAATATAAGAAAAGATGCATACAGCTGGATTGAAACTGAAAAGACGAATGATAAACTCTTTTACCTTCAGCCAAACAGTCGCCAAAAACAAAATAACAATAAAGCAACCCTTGGATCATCCCTATTTGGAATATACTAGCCCTGTTGCTATAGCGACCGCCACCCACCAGACACTGTGGTGGGAGCTGTTCTTGCCGTAGGCAGACAGTAGTTTGTCCGATGGTTCCCCTGATATCTCAGTTGACATACCATTTTCCTGCCAGAGCTACCTCAGTTTTTCAGAGTTTGCCATTTGTGCAAATGCATACTAGCTTTTTCAAAAATTTCAATTCCTTACTTGCAACGAAACCACTTTCTGCATCTTTACAGCCAGCAATAATGTCATCAACATAGCATAATTAACTCAATAACTCTGAAGCAATAGGAAATTTACTGAGATACCTTTTTAGGTGGTATTTTATTATAGCATTGATTAAGAAAGGGGAACTATTAATTACCAACAATACTGTGGTAAATCTATAGACATCTGGTGGCTCTGAAATAGGAAAATCAGATGAAAAAACTATGTGACATCTCTGTCATGCTCATCTATTTGGATTTGAAAAAAATTGCCTTTTTAATATTGTTTATGAAAGCTATAATTAAACTTCTGTAAAAGTTCAAATAAATCAGGATATGAATTAGGTCCAACATCTAAATGAAAGAAAGATTTGCGAACAACACTATGCAAAGCTTGCTTGATATTGTGTCATTAAGAATAACTTCTCTATGGGGCAAATAAAATATGGGGTGCTTATTTTCTTCACTGAGGTTCTCACAAACAGGTTCAGTAATGTTTTGGACCAAGTAGCCATCAGGTATCTTTTTATATTCTAAAAATAGAATTTAATCATTCTGAAATTTTGAGCAATGTCTTAAAAATCTTATAAGCAATTTAATGGTTATTTCCTAATATGTGTTTCACATAAGATTTCCACAGTAATTTAACATTGTAATGGTTAGACTAGAAGAGAAACACGCTAATGTGACAATCAAAATCGTAAAAACAACCTTGTATTTAGCGTAAGTATAATGAAACACTCAATCGATTTCGAGGGCAGCTAAAGGTTCCTCCTCATCAGGAGAAAGAAATACTTAACTTCGCTAAATTCTTGTCCTTCATTCTTGATCAGATAGCCTGGCTTAGTAAAAGTAGGCGGCCAGTGCAACTCTGATTAAAAATCCAGTTATAACCACGTGCAGTGCTGATAAGGACCACGTGTTTCTGAGACTCCTTCTCCTTTATTTTCTTCTTTCTAGGTATTTCTTTCTCCTGATGAGGAGGGACCTTTAGCTGCCCTCGAAATCGATTGAGTGTTTCATTATACTTACGCTAAATACAAAGTTGTTTTTACGATTTTGATGGTAATGGTTATTTTGATGTTCAGCACCACTTTCAAAACGCTGTAATGTTTTGCAGTCTATCAGATCCTAAGTTCCTTTTTCAGGTTTAATCTCCCAATTTCCCAGTTGCCAGAATTTTTTGATTTTTTTAGAAATCAAATTTTCTTCAATGATTACTTTCATCGTAAGGAAATCAGAAGGCACGGTGTCACCTTTATCCAACAAGCACCATTCAAATAATGTTTCAGCTACAACGAGTTCCTTGTTTGCATGTTTAACCTTTCCTGTAACATAGTAATCAGTCCCTATAAGAATGCAGTTTTATCATTTTGATATTCGTTGTTCAGTCAGATAATTTCAAGCCTTTCATATTTTTTATTGTAATCGATAGATCTGTTTCTGGAGATGAGGATATGTACAGATGAAATATTTTCAATTTATAGGAACTTGGCTTGCTTCTCTAAAGAGATTAGGCTCATCATTGTTTTCCAGTCTAATCCAAGTATTTTTTAATTGATATTTTCTTCATGTATATGGCAAAGAGTTGTTATTAGCAATGAAAAGTTTAGGTACTTATTTTGCTGTATAAAAATCAAATTTCAGAAACCACTTAGTGTATTAATTTTTAGATTGCTGTTACTAGAATATATTTTAATCATCAAACCTGTATTGTTCAAGTATTTTTATCTTTTGAATGCATACTTTATTAACTTTGAGAGCTTGCCTAATTTTTCAAATTAATAGTTAATTATTCATCTGAAGTAAATTAGGTTTAATGATTGATAAATGAAAATGTCTTTGTGATAAAAAATTTTCATTTTATGGAGTCTTCTTTATGAGTAAATATATAAATATTTTCTGTGTCCAACTGGATTTTTTTTTCTTATAATTCTGTAGATGAAATTTGTTGAAAGGTTTTATGTAGAATTTTTTTTTCTTATAATTCTGTAGATGAAATTTGTTGAAAGGTTTTATGGAGAATGTTATACAATATTGTTTTTTTATGATGATATTTTTAAAAGTTGTTAATTTTGTTAAATATTTTGTCATATTTTTTTCCCATTTATAGTTGAGATTCCCCGGAAAAGTGACCATGTATCCATTTGTTTTGCACTCATTGTCACTGTCTATGTTTAGTTCTATCATTGGTCCATTTGGTGGATTTTTTGCTAGTGGATTTAAACGGGCTTTTAAGATCAAAGTAAGTTATTAAATTATGTTTGAGTAGAATTATATTTTTATAAATTAACTGAAAACTCAATTTTTTAATTTTAATATTTTACTTAAGTTGGATGTTGACCTTAACATTAAAAAAATAATAATAAATTAGCTAAATTATAAGCTAATTGATATTGAAGACATATTATAAAATGTTGTTTTTCACAATCTGAAAATATTCTGTAAAGTAACAGTTTCACTTAATTCACAGTTGATGCTGTACTTTAATATTGTTTTATACTAATATTTTTCATAGTACTTTAGTGTAGCTTGTGCACATCTGCAGCTTAGTTACTGCATGACTAAGAAAAATAAAAAATTTACCTCATTCATTTCAAGTTAGTGCAGTAGGTGCTGCTTCTTGTGATCATGTTTGTCCAACTATTTTGATAACATTAATCAAATGAGTACTTCTCTGTTATGCACCTGTCATTACATTTTGGCAATACTGTTGCAATAATATGTGAATGTGTCTGATTATTCTTGGTTACATTACAGACACACAGGCACACATAAATCTCAGATAATGCTATCATTAGGTTTTTGCATGTGTTTCGCTTTTCCACAGGGGCCAACACCATGGCAGGTGCATAATGGAAAAGTACCATTGATTGATATTAAATGATGAAAATAAATCCTTCAAAATATCATTGGAATCTAACTAATTTAATAAAAATATAACTGGAAACATATAAATATTTACTTTCACAGCATTTTAGTAGGGGAAAAAAGCCATTAATAGATGAACTGTTTATAATATTTCTGGGAAATATTTGATCGTATAATATACCCTGAATCTTAATACTTATGGGCAATGGTGGCTCGTGGGTTATTTAAATAGAGTTTTACAAAACAAATTTCAAAAATTAAATATGCAAATACATACACAGTCCAGTCACATTAATGTGACCATCTGTCAAAAGCCAGAATAACCACCTTTCGCAGAGCGGACTGCTGCGAGACGTGCAGGAAGAGAGTCACATAGGTCCCTGAAGGTGTTCTCTGGGATGTTGAGCCATGCCGACTCTAATGCCGTGGCCAGCTGCGCTAGATTACGCGGTTGAGGATCCATGGCGTGAACAACTCGATCGAGATGGTCCCACAGATGCTCGATTGGGTTTAAGTCAGGTGAGTTTGCTGGCCAGGGGAGGACGGTAAACTCATCCTGGTGCTCTTCGAACCACGCACGTACACTGGCAGCTGTATGGCACCTCGCATTGTCCTGCTGGAAGATGCCATCATCCTGAGGAAAAACAATGCGCATGTAGGGGTGAACATGGTCCGCAAGGACAGATGCGTACTTGTATTGATCCATTGTGCCTTCCACAATGATCAGTGAACCTAGAGAATGCCAGGAAAACATTCCCCAGACCATAATACTCCCGCCTCCAGCTTGGACCGTTCCGGCAATGGTTGCAGGGTGGTTCCTTTCAGAGGTTTCACGCCTTATACGCCAACGTCCATCTGTCCGATGGAGCATAAAACGCGATTCATCCGAAAACGCAACCTGTTGCCACTCAGTGGACGTCCAGCTGCTGTACTGGCGTGCAAATTCTAGCCTTCGTCGTCGATGAACAGCAGTCAGCATAGGTGCACGAACCAGGCGTCTGCTTCGGAGGCCCAGACGCAGCAATGTTCGCTGAATAGTACTTTGGGAGACACTTTTGGTAGCCCCTTGGTTCATTTTGGTGGTCAGTTGCTCAACGGTAGCCCATCTATCTGCCCGAACGCATCTCCGCAACCGTCATTCGCCTCTGTCATCTATGGCCCGTGGTGCACCACATTTGCCACGGCGCTGATTTTGGACAGTCCCATTTTGCCATGCATGGTACACTTTTACCACGGCGGCACGTGAACAGTTCACAAACTCGGCCGTTTCGGAAATGCTTCCACCCTTGGCCCGAAAGCCAATGATCATGCCCTTTTGGAAGTCAGATAAATCGCTTCGTTTCTGCATTACGCCAACGATTGAAATGTTTTCCGAAGCCCTCACACACCCTTTATATACGCTCAACTGCACGGTGCTGCCACCTGCCTTCTGTGATTGTTTATTTAACTCTGACATGGAAAGTACGTGGTGGTCACATTAATGTGACTGGACTGTGTATAATGTACAAATTAAAATACACTTGCATTTTCACAAGTTAAAGGAAAACCAGTTCTCGGATATTTATTACAAAATAGTCACATACCATTTTTTTAACTTAAATCCACTCATCAATCTTTTTTTTTTTTTTTTTTTTTTTTGAGACAAACAAATTGATAATGGTTTCATTAAATTTAGGTATATCATTTATCTTGCTTTTTTCTAGTTGAGAGCATGGCTAGAGTGCTTAGTTGCTCATAGTTCTTCTTAAAAATGTCTTAACTCTTTTTATGCTGCTATCACATACACTATTTGTTGCCGGAACATAACGTTAGAAGGAACAATTCTTGGAACTGCGCTTCTGCGAAATTGGGTTACCATCTTCACTTGATAAACAGGCTGAAAGCCAAACAAGAATCAGTTATCACTCATTGGCGAAAATGACGTTTCTTTTCAAGTGACGATTGTTTTTCCATATTGTATTTTGTATCGCTCACACTCTTTTCTTTTTAAACTTTATTGTTAGTTATGGAAGATAATAGAAAGGTTATGGCTATTAAGTTAATCACTTTTATAGTGATGGCTATTAAATAATTCTATGACCATTAAGTTATCTTAATAGACTCTGATGGCTATTAAGTGATGTCTAATAAGGTGATGATCTATTAAGGTGATGGTGATCTGTAAGGTGATGACTTACAGATCAAAGATTTAATAGATTTAAGTTTTAGTTAATTTTAATAGATTTTGGCGATTCTAAAATCTAAAGAGAAAAAACGTGCAAAGAGAAGTCCGATTCTTTGTAATGATCTGTTATATATATTTGATTTTATTATTGTAAATAGTTATTTCTGTATCCATACATTTATTTAATAACGTTTATGTACACGGTGCCAAAAAAAGGGGGACAATTCTATATCTCCCATTCTACTGGGCAGATTGACGAAATTTAAATTTGTCTTGAATGCGCAACTTAGGATATATATTAGATTTATATATAGCATCATTCTAACATAGGTATTTTAACACAAAATCGGACATTTTCTGAAATGACATGTCATTTTTTTCCATTTTTTTCAATTCTATGACTCAAATTATGCCAGACTACCAAGTTTTGTAAAAATCGTAGAAGTAATTTTTAAAAAAATTAGCTCTCAAAATTTTAGCTTCTCAATGTTTATTGAATTTGGTATATATTTATTAATATCTCGTTTTTTATTAAACATTTTTTATTCTTCTTTTCATATTTCGAAATTTAGGTTCATTCCAAATTAAATTCAACCATTTTTTATGATTTATTTTTAAATAATTTTTATAAATTTTTCGGAAAAAATTTTGAATTATAACCTATAAAATTTTTACCATCATCTTAAAGTAGGTGTATTTCTAAGCGCACCTGCAAAATATTAGACTTTTTATTTAAAATTTTCTAAGATATATGCAAATTTACATATTTGCACAGTTTGAAATTTGGCATCTTTTTTTTAGTGATAATAACTCCAAATGTGGTTTATTGATTTTGTTACAGTGAATTGCCACAACTATTTTTAACCTTAAATTTCTAATAAAATTTTACAAAGAATTAATTATATGAATTTTTCCCCCTCAATGATGCATAATATATATTTATTAATACTATATGAAAAGCTATTTTTTTAATTATAGATGATATTCAAATTTTTAACTTTTTAAAAATTTCTTTCATTTTCCTCTTTTTAATATTTTTTAGAGTAAATAGTTACCTTTTTCGTGTTATCGTGTGCTACTTAACTTTAACTTCATTTAAATTTAATTGTCTACAACTGAGAAAAGTTCATTTGATGTTTATTTTCACAATGTTTTTAAGCAAACAAGACGTTGACACTTTGGATCATGTCCCAGCTTTAAAAAACATATATATAAACATAAATTTTTACATTAATCCTCTTAGAAAGAATGTTTTAAGTAGTAATTTTTTCTCATATTGTAGGTTATATAAAAAACATCTTTAATGTAGAAATTTTTAGGCTTAAAAACTCTATGATTAAGATTTTTTTGCACCCGATACAAGAATTGGGTACAGGATAAGCACTGCTCAAATGTTTTATTTCTTTCTCATTTAACAAAAAATCTTTTAATTAAAATATTTATCCTTTGGACTTTGCTTTAAACTTTATTTATAGTTAAAATGTCTAGAAGCTGAAACACATTAATGCAATTAATATTTTTAAAAATTTGACAAGAATACAAAATTTATGGACGTGTAAAAATAAAAAATCTTAATTTTCTTATGTCAGTGCTGAAAAAACATGTGGAAGGAAAGAAGGAAATTAGGGGGAAAAAAGCAAAAATTTAAAGGGGTATCTACTTCAAGGAAGTTGGGTGTTCAATGAGAAAACACTTGGACATGTACACCAGCAAATAGCAGCAACTGAGTTTGCGCTAACAGAAAAGACAAAAAGATATCACTGCAGCTTAAAGTGAAGAGCGACTGGTTTTTGACTATATGGTTGTATAAATTTAAATTACATCATAGAACATCATATTGTATCATAAACGGAGCACAGCATGATTTCTCAGTCGAATTATTTGAAGATTCAGAAATTATCCAGTGACGTATATGAATGTCATCTGAAGTCGTTTTCCTTCTTGATGAAACCAGTCTTTCCTTTCATCTCATGCCTTCAAAAATACCTAGCCTCTAAAGACTGGTAAAGGCTCTCACCAAATATTGATGAAATCGATTGATTCGGATTATTAAGTTACGGCAAAGCCGGGCTATCTGCCTAAAAGGAGGAATGCCTTTGTGAAGAACTTTTCTAAGCGAAACCAGCTCGTATACACATTATACATGAGAAAAGCCACGAAAACGCCCATGCAACAAGCCTATTCGCCGGGATTTGAACCCTGGAGTGAAT